AGCAGGGCTGGCTGTGCAAGGGGCAGCCCTGAGAGGCTGTGGGGACACTGGGGACAGGCTGTTCCCACCTGTGTGCACTCTTTGTGTCCATGTGCCCCAACTCCCCATCCCAGTGGTCCACAATGGCCTCTGCCTTGTCCTCCTGCACCCGAGGAGTCTGGAGAGGGGTTAAAAACCACAAGCTGTGTTAGGGAAGCCCAGACAGATCCCTGCATGAGTAGTGGGGTGGGATTTAGGAAACCAGCAAGGGAGAGTTGTTCTTGGCTCTGCTTCCCGAAGCAGCCCCTGCATCCGCTCCTCTCTCAAAGCTCCTTCCCTCTGCCTTCAGCTTGTTCGCAGGTGTTGTCCCACGGATGGCAGCCATCAGCCTGGGAGGCTTCATCTTCCTGGGGACATACGAGAAGACTCGGCAGCTGCTGCTGTGAGCCAGCCCGAGGAGGAGGAGGAGCCGGAGCGGAGCCTTCCTCCCGCAGCCCTCCCAGCAGCTGTCCCGCAGGCTGAGAGCCACTCTCCCTGCTCGAGAGAAGTAAATCCTCCAATAATCCACTTTCCCAAACGTGAAATTCTCCTGCATGGAAAGTGGGTGAGGTAATTTGGGAGAGTTGTGCCAAAAAAAAGTGATGTTTGGGGGGTAAACAGCTAATTACGGTGGCTGCAAAAGGCATTATTAGAACTCCTGCAGGGAAAGTGTTTTGGAAAGCTCTGGCTTGGGGGCTGAGTGGGGAGGCTGAAATAAAGCAAGTTTTCATCATTCAGTGGCACCTGCCTCGTAACAGGGGAGGGGAAGGGGCTGATAGAGTTACAGCCAACAGCACCGAAAGGATCCTGGCCTGGGAGAGCTCTTTGTCACAGACAATCATCCATTTGTTTCTGATCCGAGCTGTATTTGTGGAAGTTTATATTCCTGTTTATACCTACAGGTGCTCAGCAAGCATTCCTGTGTGGGAGCCAGTGCAGCTTTATTAATCACACTCATATTTCTGCAGTAAAAGCACAGGCTTGTATTATTTTACAGCTGTGCTTGTGCAAAGGCACGGAGCTCTGCCTTCTTTTGGGCTTCATCCCTGAAGCTGCAGGAGGATGGAAGTGCTGGGATGGAAACCTGGGAGGGCAGGGAGGGAGAACATCAGAGTTCTGCTGATGCAGAGGGAGAACAAACACCAGACCAGGTCAGTGTCCTGACAGCAGTGACAGCAGTGACAGCAGAGCCCCTGCCCAGTGCCTACAGCACAGGCTGGATGTCTTATTATACATAAATATATATAATATATATTTATATTATATAATAAAAAAATATATATACATATATATATTATATACTATATTATATATATAATATATAATATACTATACATTATATTAAATATAATGTATATTATATATTATTATATATATTATGTATTATTATATATAATAGCTACTATTGTATAATATATATATGATATATATTATATATAATGCATATATTATATAAATATATATTTATATAATATAAGAAAACATATTAGCAGTATTATAGATACATATACTGCTATCCATGACAGAGTAGTAAGACTTTCCAGAGGCCAAAACTTAGAAAATAATTGGCAGACAAGTAAAACATGCAGAACAAAAGACATAATTCTTAAAAATAATCTTCAATTAAAATGGGGAATTCAGCCAAGTCCTGTATTGGCTGGTTGGTAATGCTGCTCATTAGCATGGCTTGGTGTAGCTGTGCTTCCTGCCACTTTGAGGCTGTCTCTTCTATGACATTCTATAAATACATGTACCACATTCAATTTTAGGGGCTGGGAAAGGAGGGATATTTATTAGTCTGTCTCAAAAATCTATCACATTTCCTGTTGAAGCTCTTTAAACATGGTGAGGGGGTTAGCACTGCAGTTGATGCATTTAATTACTTGAGCTGTAAATAATCATCTTTATGTCATTGGGTCCAAACAGGGCATTTTTTGTTGTTTTTATTTAATATTGCAGAATCAGTTTTTGTCATCACTTTTTTTAAAAATTAAAATTAAAAACCCCAACTAAAACCCAGCCAAAAAGTGATTCCCCTTCCTGTGTGCCAGTGGGGCAGCTCTGCACCAAAGGCCAGAGGTACCTGGGAATGGCAGCAGGACACTGACAGCCCCAGCAGGTGGCCAGGGCTGTTCTGCATGCACCACTTTGCCTAATATGGATGAAAAGGACATTTTTAGTTTTGGGACTGCAGGGAGAAAAAATAGACCAAAAAATGCATGGGTTCCCCTATGACTGTTTGCCTCAAGTTTTAGCAATGTTTTATTTCAAGTTTACCAAAATTTAATGTAGCCCATTACTAGGATAAAGTGGGAGAACAACTTAAATTTTACACCAGGCACCAGCCTCTTAAAACCTCTCTCAGTTTTAAAAAAATTTAACTCCTAGATGTGTTAAGGAACTTTGAGTATTCTCAGACAGTCTGCTTTATACCCAAAGTGATAATTTCAAGGGGGAATTAATTTTAATTTTTAAAAAATTTACAGAAGCTAAGATTTTTAGTTAAAGCAGGAATTCAGGCTTATCTCCAAAGCTACCTCTGGAATTTCCACCCAGGGTGGGGTTGGGGTTTGGGAACACCAGAGGTGTTCACAACTGCAGCTGGGTCTGGTGCTGTCCTGGCCCTGTTTTTATTGCGCACACACACACACCCCTCATCTGTTCTGTTCTCACTGTCAAAACAGGAGGACTTGCCTACAAAAAAAAAGCTGATATATTGGAAATGTGTTTCTTACAAGTTCTGTATTGTACTTTTCCATCCAGCCCCAAATTCCACCTCATCCACGTGCCAGGCTGTCAGAGCCTCACTCTGTTCCCCACGAGCTCATGGCCCCATTTCAACAGCAGGTACTTTGGCAGTTAATCTCCATTGTCATGACAGAAAGACAGGAAAGAGATATAGCAATGGATTAGAATTTTATTTGGTTTCCAACTGAAACTCCCAAAAGCTCACTCTCAACAGATCAGCTGTAATATTATAAATGAACCTTTATTAAAGACACTTCAATGCCATTTGTTAGACACTTCAATATCTTACATGTTTTTCAATGTACAACATTGTACCAAATTCTCTAATAAATAAATAAATTTGTACACAAAAGTAATACTTCCTCTTTCACATTGCCTCTTAGAAGCAGCAAATTCACATATTTAGTGGAAGTCATAACATTAGGCAGTTAACTTTATTCAGAACCATTATTTTCAATGTTAACATGGCAAATACGCTTTTGTATCTGCACTGGTGATGACATTCCTGCCAGCAAAACGAGCCCATTGAATCATTTCCATCTCCCCCACGTCCCTGGTTCCATGAGTTGGTTCTGGAGCACTTCTCCCTTCAGCAAAGGGAAAACTCTGCTCAGTTTATAATTTTCTAACATCCATTTCCTCTGCTCTGAATAAACTTGGCACTCAACATAATTCGCCACCTGTCTCAAAGTGCAAACGTGTCAATAGTCAGGGACTGGGACAGACAGGTACTGGTGAATTATGCCTGGCTTCATGCAGGGGCAGCTGCTGCTCCCCCTGACCCCCAGGTCCTTCCCTTACAGGAGATAAGGCTGGGCAGGACCAGCTTGTGATAAATCAAGGGCAGCTTGCAGCTTTCACTGCCTGAAACCCCCCAGGTGCAGCAGCACTGGGACAGGTCCCTCAGTGATGGAGATAAAGTGACCATGAAGTGTTTCTGCCCTTGTCTCTGCTGCTTGTTCTGAACCACAGTCCTGGCAAAGGTGGATTCCCAGACTCAGCCTCACTGGAACTGGTATTTGAGTTGCTCCTAAGGAAAAAGGTAACAGCACCCCCCTCCCACCCATGATAAACCTGCCCCCAAGTAGTCATCACCAGAGTTAGCAACCTCATGTTAGCAGAACAACTCAAATCACAAAGAACTGGGAGTCCTCCATTCACAGGTACCAACAAACACCAACAGAAAGCAACCTTCCTATAAATAAAAAGCGTCATTGTGAAGTCAGAAGTGACAAAGATCTGTTTGACTGAGGTGGGCATTTCTTTATATTCTCCCCCCCATTAATGGATGAACTTAAAAAACCACATAAAAACGTTTGGGATATTTTCATATAAAAGTCTGTTCAACCATGAATCCACAGTTTTCCTTATAAAATAAATGTATTTCTAACTAGCCCAGAATTGCTACACAAGGCAGCATAACTCACTGGAAAGTGATGTTTTCATACAGAGAGTCTGGCTGTTCAACTACAAAGTGTAATATTGTGTTGCAGGGAAAAAAAAGTATTGGATGAATTAGTGATACAGCTGTCCCCTCAGGAGTACAGTTTAGTTTTGTTGTCAAAACAGCTCTATGGTTTCAAACCCCCACAGAACAGATGTGGGGTTTGGGTGTGAAAATGCATTACACTGGCACAGGTTATTTATTCTAAGCTGGCAAGGCTGGATTGCTGCACACACCTCAAACAGGTAGAGGTGGAGCCCTTTGGGAGGGGAACGGCCTGTGGTGAGGGCTGTGGTGCTCAGAGTGTGCACACATGGCAGGTAAAACCTCTGTGATGATGTGTTTGAGAGGTGCACTGTTGTGAGACCACCCCTGGTTTACTGCACAAGTTATTTATTTTGGTAACAACTTCTTCCCAGTCAAAACAGCCTTTTCCTCTGGTTGTTTTGGGGCTCTGCACTGTTGAAGAGTTATTTAGTGCCTCCTGTGTGGTCCACTCTAAAGTCTCACACAGTCACAGTTCGAATACTAATTTTTATGAAGTTTTGAAAAATAATGGAATTCAAGTTCTTCCACCAACAGGAAAATATCAGGTTGCCATGTAATTGCTCGCTGCTTTTTTTCTTTATAAATTTCATTTGACACAATTGAAGAGCTCTGTTATTAAATGTGTTAAGTACAATAAATTTCCAAGGGGAGGGAAATTTATGCTAAGTAATCCAATTGAATCACAGAAAGTCTTGGGTTGGAAGGGACAGAATCACAGGATTAACTAGGCTGGAATGATGATCAAGTCCAACCTATGACCTAACATCATCTTATCATCTAAACCATGGCTAAGTGCCAGATCCAGCCTTTTTTTAAACACATCCAGGCATGGTGACTCCACCATCTCCCTGGGCAGCCCATTCCAATGTCCAGTCACTTTCTGTGATGATTTTTTTCCTAATGTCCAGCCTAAACTTCCCCTGGCACAGCTTAAGGCTGTATCCTCTAATTCTGTCAGTGGTTGCCTAAGAGAAGAGCCTGACCCCACCTGACTCCAGCCACATTTCAGGAGTTGTAGAGAGTGATGAGGGCACTCCTGAGCCTCCTTTTCTCCAGGCTGAACACCCCCAGCTCCCTCAGGTGTTCCTCACAGAGTTTGTGTTCCAAGCCCTTCACCAGCCTTGTTGCTCTCCTCTGGATGCGCTCAAGCATCTCAACGTCCTTCCCAAACTGAGGGGCCAAAACTGGACACAGCACTCCAGGTGTGGCCTCACCAGTGCAGAGAACAGGGGCAGAATGACCTCCCTGCTCCTGCTGGCTCATGTTCAGTCAGGTCTCAACCAGTGCCGCCAGGTCCCTTTCTGAAATCTGGCACTGTCCAGCCACTCTGTGCCAGCCTGTAACACTGCAGGGGTTGTTGTTGCCAAAGTGTAGAACCCAGCACCTGGAGTTGTTCAATTTTACGTTGTTGGATTTAGCCCATCTATGCAGCCTGGCCTGACCTTAAAGATGATCTTGTTCCAGCCCTCTGCCATGGGCAGGGAGAGCTTTCCTTAATCCAGGTTGCTCGGAGGTGCATCCAGCCTGCACACCTGCAGGGATGGGACATCTGCAGCTTCTCTGGCAACCTGTACTCGTGCCTCACCACCTTCACAGGGAAGAATTTCAATTTCTTCTGTATCTAACCTAAATTTCCCCTTTTTCAGTTTGAACTCATTACTCCTTAAATCTAGGGCACCAGAAGTGTGTGCAGAACCCCAGGTGGAGCCTCACCTGACTAGAGCAGAGGAGAATCTGCTGCCCACAATGCTCTGGATGCAGGCCAGGTTGGATTTCTGGGCTGTGAGCACCCACAGGCAGGGCATGTCCAGCCTCTGATCCACCAACACCCCAAATCCCTCTCCACAGGGCTGTTCTGGTCACTTTTCCACCCAACCAGTACCTGGGATTGCCCCAACCCCAGTGTACATGGTGTAAAGGAACTTCCACTGAAAAGAGGACAATCCCTTTGGAACAGTCTGGCTTTTAAAAGTTCTGTTTATGCATTTAAGGCACCAGAATTATTTCTCTCACAAAGTTTAACAGCAACCTGATACTGAAAACAATATTGCCAAAATTGTAAAATTTCACTCAGTTTTCCATGCACTAAAGATTAAAATAGCCTCTGTAAAAGATATATATATTTTTTTAATATATATATATTTATATATGAAAACTCTTATTTACACTTGTATCAAATACTTTTTCTCTTTACACAATAATCCCTTGCATTTATGTGCTTCATATGCAAGTTGACTTTTGAACACTTCATACTTCTCAGGGAAGTTTTAAACTATGTACAATCAGATGACGCTCGAACAGGAGTTTGTTCCCCATACAAGCTTGTTTCTCATACCTCAGTTGGTTGCCTTTGCCAGGCCATCAGTTCAAGATTCGAGGTAGAAGTAAGTAGCCTATATACTCTGTGCAAAAAAAAAAAAAATTTAAAAAAAGTAATAGTGTGTTTGTTAATTTGCACGTGGCAGTCAGTCTGTGCTCTCAGTCCAGAGATCTGCTGGGCAGCTTGGGCTCGTGAGTGGAGTCGTGGGGTTGGGCTGTGCTGCTGCTGGGCAGGAGAGCCTGCTCCACCTCTGCTTCCCCCTGCAGATCCAGTAGTGCTGGGGATATTTCAGGAAGCACGTTCAGTTGCTTTAATGACCCTCCTGCAGGCGAAGCTCTCACCAAATTAAGGTTGTTAAGCTCTGAAGGCTTTGCTGCTGCTTGTGAAGAGCCTGCAAAAGCCCAAAGGAGCAGCACGGTTAGGTGACACTCAGCTGCCAAGCACTCCCACCCTCCATTGGCCCCAACCTTAACAATTCTATCCTCTGCCCAACCCAACCCCACCAGTGCCATCCCCAGGCTGAGGGGAGCACTGGGGCTGTGCTCCAGCCCTGTGGTGGCCCTGGGGATCAGAGGTGACCCCAGGAAGGAAGGACGCACCGTGCGCGCCCTCCGGCCGTATCCTGTCGTGGTTGCTGGGGTACAGGGTCCCGTCTGTCTCCACCCTCCTGCCACTGGCAATGCCATTGCAGGGCTGGGCATGAAGAAGGCTGGTGCCTGCACCCCTCTTCCTCTGGTGCTCCCTGCTGCTCAGTGCATTGGGGTGGGTGTTCTCCACAGTCTTTAGGCCCTGGCAGTCCTTGGGGTAGGGGTGGACGCTGTCGCTGTCCGTGCTGCCGCTGCACTCCGTGCACACCACGGGCAGCCCGTGGCCTTGGGGGAGGAAGGGAAAATCAGCAGGGTGAGAGGAGCAGCTGGAAGTGGTCAGCACTGGAGCACACAGATCATGGAAGGAAAGGGCAGTTCTGTGCAGTTCACTGGGGGAATCTCTCACTAAATAACGTGGACGCTTCATGGTCTTACACAGCGCTATTACACACCCACCATCACTCAAGGTAGTGCCAATTAACAGCTTTAGTTAGTTAGGGATTCATTTGCACTCCAAAGTACTTGTAACTTTCTTTTTTTTTTTAAATAAACTATGCATTTATTTCCTTTTCCTTTCTAATCAGGGTAGAAGTGCAAAGTGGAACTTTACTGTAGCTGTGTTAAAATACCAAGTTATCTTTCTTATTTTTAATATAAGAATTATTAAGAATTAAATAATTCTTAATTAATAATTATCTTAAATTTAATATTCTTATTTCCTGTGCTTTACAGGGAGCAGCATCAGCTTGCACTGTTATCTCAGGATATGTTATTACTGCTAGTGGTATCAACAGATGAGCAGAAGTCAAAGCAGCAACGAGTTTCTAAATGCTGAAAGTTAATTTCCTTAGTGCACTCAACAACTTTCCATTATTAAACTTTACATTAGTTTCTCCTAGAGAGAAAATTTGTTTCATTGGCTGACTTTCTGTGGCTTTTACAATGCAGTATGAGAACAGAAAGCACATCCTAAAAATAGAAAAGTATGAGTGGAACACCACAGAAATTGGCAAAGAGCAGAGGCAGGTATAGTGCCCAAAACAACCTTTAAATTTTGAAAATAAATTAAAAAGCTGAGCTTTGAAGTCAACAGCCCTTTTAAAAGAGCATGAAAAAATTTAACACTTTCAGTTTTGAAAGTGCTCTCATAATTTAAGAATATTTCAAATCAAAATTCCCATCAGCCAGCTGCACAGAATGGCAACTGGGAGCCTTACTGTGTCTCTGACAGTTGCTCAAATTCCAACTATCCGAGCTTGAGAGAGAATCAAAGCAAGCAGGAGAAAGTAAACTTTCTGTGCTTGCACCTGAGAATCATTCTGAGCTTTTTTTTCTCTGAAGGTAACAATTTTTTGTGTTAATGCTGTCTGACTTGGAGGGTTTTGTGATCTGTACAAACACGAAATGCCTTCCCAGATTAATGGGTTTTGTACCTGTCTTATCTGGAACAAGCATTCCATCGGCCATGTCCTCAGTTTTCCAAGTGTCTTTGTTATAGCTGATACACAGCTTGGGCTGCCTACAACCTACAGCAGGAGCTTCAACATCTGGACACCTTCCAGCATCAGCCTGACACATCCCTGTAACAAACAAACCATCTGGGTAAAGATCACAGCCATCTGCTCACGGTTAAATGACTTGTTGGTATTACTTACACTGGAAAAGGGAAGAAAAATAGAGATAAAAGATAATTTTCAGCAAACATTTAACAGAGTAAATGCTGCACAATCTCACAAGGATCTTTGTTCAGAACTCTCAACTTCTCCTTCCTAATGTGCTGTGTTTAAATAGTGTAAAACCCCAACATTTAATTTCAAAGCCTGGAGGCAGGGACAGGCAATGTTAATGCATTTTCTAGTATGACTGTGGGTAACTCTGCTGCCAAAAACAGAATCCAAAATTAGCAAAAACCAGTCCTTAGGGCCTGACTGAGCAGTTTCTGAAGCAGTCAGCTTGTAGGAACACTTACTCCTGGGAGAGGAGAGCTCTGTGAAGTCAAACACAGATCCTTGCTCTGCATAAATGCAGGAGTTACTTTATAAAGATCTCTCAGATAACTCAGAACAAACACAAACACAGAAGTACTCTGGGCTGAGATTTCTACCTCCCCTGTCAAGTTCAGAGGCAGCACTGCAGAACAATGAAAGCAGAGCTCACCATTGCTGTCGATGTGCCCGTTGGGCTGCTGGGTGTCCACGCCAATGGCCACGTCCTGGCGCTCCGAGAGGGTCCCCTGGGAGGACAAGTAGCTTGGCACATCAGGAGGCACTATAGTCTCATCTGGAGCAATGGCAGAAGGGAAAAGTCAGCTCCCAGCAGGATTTTTCAAAGGAAATTCACATTTTCAAGGGGCATTTGGGACCTGATCTAGAACCAGTTGTTTTCTGTAGGTGCACTAGTAACTGAACTGCCTAAATACTCCCTTCCCCTCAGAAGCCCCATTCCTGATTTTTCAAAGCTTAAAGCTGTGGGAGAGAGTGCTGATAAAGGCACTTTGAGTGTTTGCATGTGGCATGGTCAGTACATAGTAGGTGGAGTAGAACTATTTATTCAGAATAAGTAAATCCTTCTCTTTCCCCTGAAATTCAGTCTGTCCTTTGACTTTTACTTCTGCCTTCTGAAGTCAGGAGTAAAAGCATTCTGCAGAACAGGGTGTTTGATTCTCTTAAGCAGGAAATAAGTCTTAAGCCTCTTGGCTTTCTCCATTTTCTATCAGGCAATTTCAGTTTCCCTTTGCCACACAAAACCAAGTGAAACTCAATTATATCAGGCACAAACCCCTGGATTTTGAGGACAAAAAAAAGGAGTTATAAAAGAATCCCACTAATACATCACACTGCTAATAGGCTATCCAAGACTTCCTATCTAGCCCATGTCTTTAAAAATCCTTTTGTACTCTATCTAAAGCTAAGCATAATGTAGGAAGGCTGGAAATTCCAAGCAGGCTGGGAAATTCTCAGGCTGGTTCTTCCTTACTTCTGTTTTGTTCAGAGGCTGCATAAGGAGGGCAGGAGATTTTATTCTCACTGCAACACTTATTTCAGCACCAAATTATCCCCTCTGAATATCATAAGAAAGCAATAAATGCTAATTCTTCCTCTAAAAAGTAACAGATACCTCCATCATCAAGGGGGGTATCTGTTATAGCCAACATGGAAAAAGGGATTCCAGCTTCAAAGCCTACTTTTTCAAGATTTGACTTGAAAATACAGATTTCCAACAACCAAGACAGGTTCCCAGCATCACGAACATCATTCAGACTGCCTCAAAAGTTATCATCTATGGTCATGGAAAGCCAAAGTAGCAAAGCAACAGCTGGAACAACAGCCAAGTGGAAAAGACCTTCCTGAAGAGCAAGCCAAGGGGAGAAATGCAGCCCTGAACATGCTTCAGCAGCAAGTGGGAGCTGGTTCCAGCCCTGGGAGCCAGGAGAAGCTGCAGTTCCAGGGGACTGTGGGGCTCCCTGTCGAGCTGGCTCAGCCTCGGTGGGATCTCTGCCAGGTTAGAGGGGACCTGAGGACACTGCAGCTACCTGTGTTGGTGACACTGTACTCCTCACTCTTCTTCCTGGTCTGGTAGATGATGCAGACCCAGACGAGGGAGGTGAGCACGATGCTGCAGACCACGGCGATGGTGATGATGCCCACGGTGGTGCGGTCCTTGCGGCAGCCCAGCGCCTGCAGGATGCTGACGTGGCTGTGCGCGCGCTCCGTGCCCAGCGTGTTGGACATCTCACACGTGTACTTCCCTGCGTCCTCCAGCACCACGTTCCTGACGATCAGCAGCTGGTTGCCCGAGGTGAAGTGGTGCCTTTCTGTCACCACCAGGGGCTGGTCACCTTTCAGCCAGGTGATGCGGGGCGGGGGGCTGCCCGTGGCTTTGCACTGGAGAGCCACGGTCTCGCCGACGGACACCACGTGGTCTTCCAGGGGATGGAGCAGGGATGGTGTCTCTGTGGGAGGACAAGCACAGAAACTGATTTTTAGGGATGGTGTGTAGGAGTGATGGGGGTAGGACGGGCAGGACAGATGGAGATGAGAGATCTCTGAAGGCAGGCCTTGGAACTTGGGGTTTATCGCAAAGGGCCTGGTGCAGGGACCTGCTGGGAGCTGCCAGCCACAGCTCAGAGCAGGCCCGAGAGAAGAGCGGGGTAGAGAGCATGAGAGAGGGAGTAAAAATGGTAAGAGAGTGAGGTTGCTGTTACAATACCATAAATCTTCTGTGTTGAATATTCTAATTCTCACTAACCAATCTAGTACAAGATACAAATCCTACAACATTTACATACAGCCTATAAGAATCATTGCACTACCATACTGTGTTACATTTTAAACCCTATAAACTCCTCTTCGGACCCCTTCCGCCAAGTTAGTAGGGTCTGCTCTGACCCTTGGAGCTGTCTGCAAGCAGAGGGTGTTGTTCCATCAAAAGGGGATTACCTTCAGCCAGCCATACGAAGTATCTCAAAGCTTGCTTTCATTTCAATCTCACTTATAGTTTCTATATTCTCAAAATCTTTTGCCAAACAATCATATTTATAAGGCTTTCCTGTCTCATCTTCCCCAAGAATGGTGTAACAACTATCCCTAAAATCCCTGTCAGATTTAACAGCACTGAAAGTTCCTCATGTTCCTGCAGACACAGCAAGGCATGAAGCAAGCACATGCTCAGGAATACAGCAGACACAACACACCACAACAGATCTAACAACCACAGCCAAGCTTTCACTTCCCACAACCAACTGGTGTTAAGTTTTTCCCAACAAGAAACTTCTGAGGACATACACCAACAGCTGAAATGTGAATTATTTCACAGAGCAAGAGAGATGAAGTGCAATTTCCTTTTGAAGTCATTTTCCCAGACAGGAAATAGGCTGGTTGGGGGGCTTCCTTTGGCACAAGAGGAGATGCAACTTACAGCTCCTTCTCTTACTTTACAGATATTTTTCATTAGTGAACTACAGTGTGAAAGAAGGAAACAAGACTAAGCAGACCATTTGACTCTATCTCTCTTTTATCTGCAACTGGTAAAGAGCTTGAATGGCCATCCATCCCTGTTCCCACTTGCACTCGGCCTCCTGGGGCACTGGTGATGCCTTTTTGGGACCACCTAAAAACAGAGGCCAGACAGAATTAAGGGAATAAAAGCAGTTATATTCATTGAAGGGCCTTCAGGTTCATTTAGGGCAGATGAAGCGCATCCAGGGACAACACCCAAAAATGGATGATGGGTCACAGGTTTTCACACTTTTATCAGTTTGGTCCATTTGCGTGTTGGGGATTAATCTTCCAATTACAGCTTCAGGTAATGAAGTAATTTACCCCAAGTTTACTTCCCCCCCAACTGACTTTTCTCTCCATCTCTCAGGGCCTGAGACAGTGATGTGTCCTTGATTCAGGCCTAGAGAGGAATTGCTCTGTCTGACCAAAATGGAAGAACAGTAACACTCTATATGGAGTTTAGAGCCACACAGTAAAAGAACTGCCGGATTACAACCACATGAAAAAATTACGAACACACAAAAGCCCAAAGGCATCCCTACCCAGCACGGTGAGGGTGGCGTTGGCCAGCACGGAGCCCGCCGAGTTCTGAGCCGTGCAGCTGTAGACGCCCATGTCCTCCACCTTGACGTCGGTGATGAAGAAGACGTCGTCGTCGGGCATGACGTGCATGCGGCGCTCGCGGGCCGCGGGGAAGTCGGTGCCGCCGTCCTTCTGCCAGGCGATCTGCGGCGCGGGGTGGCCCTCGGCCGCGCACTCCAGCCGCGCCGTCGTGCCCGTCCGGCTCGTGATGTCGTGGGGGGTCTTGATAAATGATGGCAGAACTGATAAAGGAAAAACAAGAAATGAGTGTGAGTGGTTCTGTGGGGGAAACGTCATCTTCTGGGTGGTTCTGTTTTTGTTCCCACAGAAGGATTAAGGTGGCCCTTGGCCGCTCACTCCAGCCATGCCGTCCTGCCCATCTGGCTCATGATGTTATGGGGAGTCTTGATAAATGATGGAAGCACTGATAGAGGAAAAGCAAAAAAAGGCTGTGAGTGATTCTGTGGGGAAACATCATCGTCTGGGTGGTTCTGTTTTCCTTCCCACAGAGGGATTAAGGTGGCCCTCAGCCGTGCACTGTGATAGTGTTCGCAGGGGTCTTAGGATGAGGAAAGAGATGAGGATCTGACTCCATGTTTCAGAAGGCTGATTTATTATTTTATTATATATATTATATTAAAACTATACTAAAAGAATAGAAGAAAATATTTCATCACAAGGTAAGCTAAGAATAGAAAAAGAAGAAGAATGATAACAAAAGTTTGGGTCTCAGACAGAAAGTCTGAGCCAGCTAACTGTGACTGGCCATTAATTAGAAACAACTAACATGGGCCCGTCAAAGATCTACCTGTTGCATTCCATAACAGCAGATAATCATTGTTTACATGTTGTTCCTGAGGCTTCTCAGGAGAAAAAATCCTAAAGAAAGGCTTTTTCAGAAAATATCACGGCTACAGCACACTCCAGCCGCGCCGTTGTGCCCATCCGGCTCATGATGTCGTGAGGGGTTTTGATAAACAATGGCAGAACTGATAGAGGAAAAACAAGAAAAGGGCATGAGTGATTCTGTGGGGAAATAATGTCTTCTGGGTGGTTCTGTTTTCCTTTCCCCAGAGGGATTAAGGTGGCAGTTACCCACAGGCAGGAGGATGGCTCTGAACTGCTGGGGACTGACCCCTTGTTTCTAGAGAACACACCTGTCTGCAGAGTCCATGACACCTTCAACTCAGATCATTAGAGCTGGAATCAAAACTAATTTTCTTCTGTGAAAACCTGAGGAAAAAAAATCTCTTATCTCTCCTACAGAGAATTTCCAACTGCTACATCCCTCTTCTTTGCACCCTTTTATATTTTCATTTTCATTGGGCAAAGAATCTACCTGAGCAGCCAAAGAGCAGAAGCTCAAGCCGCTAAAAACATGCATGCTGAAGTGCTTGGCTGGATGGCATCCAACACAAAATGGTGTGTGCTCCTCACAGGGCATTTCCCAGCATCCACTGAGATACAAACAGCTGCTGTGCAGAGGTTAAGAGCTCACCATCAGGAACGGACCCTCGGGAGCAAGGAACTGTCTCTGGAAAAATCCCTTCGCCCAGGATTTTTCTCCTGGGAAGCTGAGAAGCCTCAGAGAAAAGGGATACAATTCTTATCTCATTTGCTTCTCCTGTGTTTTGCTCGTGTGTGGAACGTGTTTGGAGATTATTTACCCACAGGTGATTGTTTCATTGGATTCAGGTGTGAATTATTTTGGGTCACTGGCCCATCAGGGTCAAGCTGTGTTGAGACTCTACGGAGAGTCATGAGTTTTCATTATTATCTTTTTAGCATTATGTAAGTATCCTTTCTGTATTCTTTAGTATAGTTTAGTACAGCATTCTTTAATAGATTATAGCATCATAAAATAATAAGAACATGGAGTCAGATTCCTCATTCCTCCCTTCATCGGGGCGCCCCACAAATAGAGCAGAATTGTACCACAATTCAGGCCGAGGAGAAGAAGAGGAGGAAGCAGCTCCCACTCACCATTGACGGTGAGCCTGGCCTTGTTGGAGTAGGTGGAGCCGAAGTGGTTGGTGATGACGCACTGGTAGCGGCCCTCGTGCGCGAAGGTGACGTGCCGCAGGTGCAGGATGGTGGTGCACTCCATCACCTCCCCGTCCTTGGCGCGCACGTGCGCGAAGTTCTCGATCTCGGCGTTGTGCAGCATCTCGTTGTCCTTCTTCCAGGCAAACACCATGGGGGAGCTGCTGCTGCTGGCTGCCAGGCAGGTGAAGCGGATGTCCTTGCCCAGCACAGCCACCGTCGTCTCGGGCTGGATGATGATCTGGGGCTTGGGGAAATCGTCTGGGAGGAAAGAGCAGCAAGAAACAGTCAGTGCCGGGCTCTGAGGGGAGGCTGGAGCAAGTCAGGAGGTGAAATGAGAAATAAGGACTGCTCTGTAGAGCAGGTGTGCCACACACAGCCCCACTGAGTTGTTGGTTTACATGGGACTGTTGTTCCTCTGGTTCCTTCAGTAGGCTGACGTGATCACTGAGTAACCTCAGACACCAACAAGACACCCAGCTCCTTCACCAAGTGAATCTGAGAAAGGTACTATGCTCTGAAGAAGATATTCAGACCATATTCAGGTTGTCCTTCTTTGTACAATCCATGCATGAAGAGCTCAACTGAACTTAAAACCTCACCTCCAGACCTCTACTGGCATGAAGTAGGAGGGGAGAGGGCACTTAAAGGGCTGCAAGTGTCACTTCCAGGGAAAATCACTCACAAGAGGTTTTAGTGAGGTGGGGGTTGGTCTCTTCTCCCAGGCAATGGCCTCAAGTTGTGCCAGGAGAGGTTTAGATTAGCTAATAGGAAACCTTTCTTCCCCAAAAAGGCTGTCAGGCACCAGAACAGGCTGCCCAGGGACCAGGGAGGTGGTGGAGTCACCATCCCTGGAGGTATTTAAATCATGTGTCAGTGTGGCACTCAGGGCCCTGGTTTAGTGGTGTGTTTGGCTGTAGGAAGTTAACAGTAAGTAAGTTAAAGTTAAAAGATCTTAGAAGTCTTTTCCAGCCTAAAGGACTCCATGACTCTCAAAGCAGAAGCAGCTGTATTTGCCTGTCACCCAATCAGGGTGGAAAGCTTTGCACACTCTCTCTCTGCCCTGAAGACTGTTGGTTTTAGCAAGGTTCCAAGCAGATTCATTTATTAGGTTTCTACAAATGGTGTAATTTAATATTTGACTAAGGTTTAATTAAACAGCCAGGCCTCTGGAACCAGGACTACTAGTGCCTGGAGGACTTGGCAGGCAGCGGGGAGCAAAGCTGCTTTTGCTTTGTGATGTTGCTGTGGGGATGGAACTTTCAGGATCTCTCCTTCCAGAGGAGCACAGCAGGGCTCCCTCCCAGCCTGCTCAGACAGAGGCCACCTAGGCAGAGGGTGTCACTGGGGGATCAGGAGGGACCCTGGAACAAAGCTCCTGCTCCCTGTTCAGTGCAAGTCATGCATTCAGCTCAGTTAAATACTGTTTGCAAAAGCTCATTTTTCCTTCCAACAGCCATGTGCAGCTCCACCCAGGATCCTCACTGGTTGGCTCCACTGCACAGGGTTTGGCTCCCAAACCAGGCCTTTCTTTTCCCCAGAACCTGGATGCCTGAGCAGCACTGATTTGGCCTCTTCTGGTCATTTAAATTTCTTTATGAGAAAGGTAGTAGATGTTTATGTGCGCTGGTATTAAGTAAATCTGCTTTGAAACCACAGCTCAGGTGCAGAGTGAGCTGCAGTATTTGGGTGGGCCTTACTGGCCCCAAAGAAGCAGCTGTGATGGAGGGAGTCCCCTCTGGGGTTTGTTTTTAACTCTTTGTTGTCTCCAAGAGGGAGAAGAGATGGGTAAAGAACACAAACTAAAAGATGGGTGAAGAACACAAATATTTTTTTCCTTCTGCAGTGTTCTGTTTCCTTCAGAACACTGCAGAAGGAAAAAAATTACATCTGCAGGCTTGATACTATCAAATAGAGGACTGGGGAAGTGTCTGTGCAGCCCCATCTGGAAGTGGAACAGCCCTTAGTCCCTTTTGATTTAATACTCAGGGAGCCCTGTAAGGAATACTCTGGATGCAAGCAATGCACTGTGTGGTTTTAGTGGGAAATAAATTGTAGCCAATGACAAATTTTTTAAATGCAGGCTTGGGCTTCCTTTGATCCCACTGAATAACAAAACAAAACAGAAACCCTCTCATAATAACATGCTGGTACTCAAAGAAAATGTTTCCCAAGTGACTCCTACCCTTCACACAACCTCAAAACACACAGGCAAGACTTACCACACACAAAACTCTCTGGCTGGATGGCAAAAATGCTTTTGCTCTTCAGTGACTCAGGATGGGCACAGGTGGCCACCACGAAGGACTGCAGCTCCTTCTCCACCAGCCATTGGGGCAGCCACTTGAGCTGGCAGTCACAGAGGAAGCTGTCACTGTTAATGTGCCTGCAGGGAAACAGAACCAACACCAGCCTGCTGTCAGTCCTGCACGGAGGGAAGGCTGGGAAACTCACAGCCCTTTCATGTTAAACACATTCCTCCTGCCCCTCAGCATGGGGGGAAGGAAGAAAAAGGACTGCAGGGATGTCCTGGAGGCACTGAAGGTGTCACAGGCATGACACATTTAGAGAAACCCCCTCCTGCACTGCAGTGACACTCTGCAGCTCCTTGTAATTATTAACCAGCCCCCAGAGTGACCCCCAGGAACAGACAAGACACATCAATGAGCTCCTGCTCTGCCCCTCTGGGGTTTGAGCCTTTGGTGGGGACCAAATTCAGCATTTGGCTGCTGACCCGAGAGAGAGGGGACACCCAGCTCCCACTGAAAGGCCTCGAGTTCCCTCCATGGCAGAGCAGTCAGCAGAGAGGCCCTGCCTTCCACAAGGTGACCCTGGAGTTGTGTTTACTGATTAAAAGAAGCAGCAGAGGAGAAAAGACCAAAGATATTTGTGTAAACCCCACAGGAACAGTAACTAGTCTGGAAAACAAAACACATAAATATTTCTCAGCATCCTGAGTTCCAACCCCACCATTGTAGGATTCTGTAATTCTCTGATCAATCTAAGAAAAGAGGTGTGAAAAAGGGGCAAAGAAAATGGGAGCTTTGGGATTAATGTGGGCTCTTTTTAATATTCTGGGCCAAATTATGGCTCAGCATAGCTCTAAGGCCAGTGAATAATTGTAAATTTACACAAACGGGGCTTTCATACTTTGATCTGGTTTGCAAAACTCATTCTGATCCTTGGAATTGAATGTGAGAATGCCTCAGAGACTGGAAAATACCCCAGAGAGAGCTCCTGTCCTGCAATCCTACAAGCTGTGCAAGAGCAGGGTATGAAGAGCACAGCAGAATCCCAACTCCAGCACTGCACTACAAGATGTGAATCTCCTGCTAATTTTCTACCCAATACCTCAGGAAATCCTGAAGTCTGAAATGAGCAGGGAAGGTAAAAAGGGAAAATTGACTGGAGAGGGAGGGAATATAGGGATTTGATTTTTAAAAGCTGTCCATTTTCCTGTTCTAGAAAGATACACATATGAAGGCATAAACCCTCCTGGCTACTTGGGACAGGTCAGGAGATCCTTCAGCACAATTCATTCTGCATGTAAATGTCCTCTATCTGAACCTCTCCCTTTTATAAACATTCCTTCACAATATCTGGGATCTCTCTCTCTCTCCCTAATAAGATCAATCCTTCATCTCAATTTTGTTTCAAGTGCCAGTGCAGAAGATAAAGTTTTTAATCACATAACAGACACACAGTGTTTATCTTCTTCACTCCCAGTCACTGGTATCAGGTGTCACTGCCAGCAGTGACCATCTGATTCCCATTTCCAATGTCAGGAGCAAGAACCTGTACCTGCCCAAATACCAAATAAATGATTTTGTGTTCCACAGAAACTGCACTACTCTGGGGCATAGCAACACACTGACAGTGGATTAAATATTTATGGGGAAGAGGAGAAAAGGAAACCAGGCAAGACTGGAAACAGTGTCTGATAACAGTGCAGAGCCCCAGGCTGGAGCACAAGCAGCAGCTCTGATAACACATCTGTATTTTTACACCAGAAGGCTGAATGACAAGTGGATGCAGTTCAAATGCTGCTTATCACTGCAGTATCAGTCCTGTGTGTGAACCCTAAACACAGGAACAGCAAGGGAGCACATGGGCCACTGGGAATTAAATCCATGGTGCTGTGAGCAGGAGAGCTGGCTAGCAGGAGCAGGGCTGGACTTCCTGAATGGAGATGGATAATTGCACAGGCACAAACCTGCTGCAAGAACCTGCCCCCATGATCTAATTTCACTCACTATTACATGCAATGACAGCTCCTGATGTGTAAATATACCCCCCAGAGGAGGATGCAGGGGAGGGGGAAATGAAGGAATGGCAATGTGGGTAACAGCAGTGCTGCTGCTGAGGTGCAGGGCCAGGAGGATCCCTCCTGCCTGGGTGGGTGTGAGCAGGACAATCACTTACAGCTGCTTCAGGCTCCTCATCCTGGCAAAGGCATCGGCTTGGATGGAGCGGATGGCGTTGTCCCCCAGGTTCCTGCAGGCACAACCACAGGCAGGGTCAACAGAGGAGATGCCATGGCTGGGACAGAGCCTCTCACACTGATTTAAGCAATGACTCCAGTAAAAGGTGGTTTGGTAGCTCCTTGATAAGGTCTTCAGCACTGACATAGAAATGTTCCTCAAAACGCCTTTGTATTATTAAAGCATTGCTGAACAATAGCCAGCCAACAAAAATTACACCTAACTGAATCACTAAGACATTCCCTACCCCATCCTCTCACTGCACCTTCTCAGTCTGAGCTACCTCCATCATCCATAGCTCAGAAATTCCTCAGCCCCCTCAATAACCAAAGATAGTCAGGAATGTGGTACCCCAGGCTAGACCTTCAGCAAACATAAAAGAAAGCAAACACTTGCACTAAGCAGCATCTGAGGAATTATTTGAAAATGACTTGGAGAGGATACTGTTTGGTTTAAAAAAACATCCCAGTATTTCCAAAGGAAGGGGTTAAAGCCTTTCCTCACAACTATTGCTAATTAAAAAATAATTTGTTCTCTGAAAAAGCACAGTGTCATATTTAGGGCTGAAGTTTACTAAGTGACATGTAGGGCAGACGAGCACTGCCTAAAGAGAACAATCTCAGTAGAGCATTAAGGGCACCTTTATTTGGGAATGTACTCCCAGTCAGGCAGCCCAAACCTTTCAGTGTGCTCTTGATGGCCATAACATTTCATACAATCAACAGCCAATAAAACATGTAGAGCACAGTCACATATACTTTAACTTGTCTTAATCCAAGAAAGGAGGTTATTCATGAATCACTGCTGGAGTCATCAGCCTTGGGACACAGAAAAAAAATTACACAGAGGCAGCCAAAATTCACTTCTTGCAAATGGCTCTAAGGGGGTTGTGCTGAATGGGGATGCTGAGTGGGGATGCATCAAACCCAGTTATCTGTAACAAGTGGCACTGCCAGAGCCTGGTTTAGGAGGGAGTTGGGGCAAAGGAGGAGAGAGTGCTGTGCCTGCACCAGCCCCTTTTCATTGCTAACTGCCTGCAAAAAGCAGTAATGTGCAAGTCAAGGTGATACTCTCAAAAAATTAGGAGCATGCAAATTTCCCATATGTTCTATAACTTTGTTCCTGGCACAAAAAAAGGCCAAAGTTGAGGCGGACTTATAATGAGAAGGAAGCAGGTGGCCCCCACAAATGGACTGGCTTCTCAGTTTACAAAGACACTATTAAATTGCTAGCAGATTTCTCAAGCAACTCCTTTTGGCAGACCCCCCTTCCCAAACTCTGAGGCATGGTGGGTTACTCACAGGTGCTCCAGAGCCTCCAACCCTGAGAACGCTTTCTTGGCCACCGACTTGATCTTGTTTCCAAACAGAGTTCTGCAGTTTCCAAACATTCAGTGCCAGATAAACAGAAAGAAAATGGGGAGAGGGGGGCAGAAAAAAAGAAAAAAAAAAAGGAACACAATTAGTGTGGCTTTATCTGATATACACACTCAGTGTAAGTCCCAGGAAATCTGAACTGCACAGAGATTAAGAGGGCTGAAGCACACTCGCTTTCCTGCTCCCGAAATTAAATCCTTTTATCTGTATTTGAATTTAATAGTGATGACAGCACAGAAGGGAATGTGCCATATCATGTAAAAAGGCAGGTTTGCTCCTGTGCTTGGGAACCAGCTTGCTGAGTAACAGAAGGTCCCCTCTGTTCTTCACAGGCTGGCTGCGGACAGGATTAAGTGCAGTGACAGCTTAACAAGGTATTGGTTTCTCCCCACAAACTTTTCATTTCTGACTTCTTCCCAGACAGGAAGAAGAGTGGTGATTTATCCCCTGGTGCTTGGCCTAGCAGCCATCAGCACTCAGAGCTGCACACTCACACAGCAGCTGACTGCAGGCACTGCTCATTCCTCATTGTTAAATAGGACAGCAAAGCAATACCATGCAACAGATCATAGCCAAGGGACAATTTCAAGGAGCAAAAGGCAGATCAGGTAATGTGCACAGCTGAGGAATGGGTTTGTGTGCATCTGTGACCAGAGGGCATTCCTCTGAATCAGCACTGGCATGAGGGGGCTATCACCCAGCTGGAGAGATCCCAGCCCAGCTGCCATCTCCAGAGCAACAGCTCTCCATAAATATTGACCAGGGTTTGTGCCAAACGGATGGTCCCCTCACCTGTTTTAATAAAACATCAACCAGTGTAATCAGTTAGGAACTGCTTCCTTCCCCAGGCTCCCCCAAGGTTCATCCTCCAGGTGCCTCTGTTATCACAACATAGTGTCCAGGGCAAGCCATCCCCACACCTCAGGTGGAAAAAGGGCTCATCTGGTGCTGCATTTGGTTTTGAGTTTTCATTCAAAGGCTGCCCTTCAGTACGGGGTGTGAAAGCCATTTCTGCACCCCAAAAAGAGTTACAGCTATGATGGCCCCACTGCTTGCTCACTGACCAGGGAAAGGAGTTCAAGATGGAGCTTGTGCAGCCATTCCATGAGCAAACACATTTCCAAGAACTTGTCAAGGCTTTCCACAAAGCACTTTTCAAATGTCAGGATAATTTGGTTATATATTGGCTCCAGGAAAGCCCAGTCTCAAATACCCCCAGCACCAAAGGATGTGTGCAATCATGTGTGCCATCATTTGGTAAAAGGGATGCTGCATTAATGAAGGCTTTGAGAAATCCATTAGAATGATTAATACAGTAAATAATTTACTATATGTAAACTCTGGTCAAATGGCTGCATCCATACACACTGATTTCTGCAGCCATATTCCCAATAAATGTGCTTTAAGGACAAGGTGAGGATAAAGTAAGGACTGAAGGAAATGGCCTCAAGCTGTGCCAGGGGAGGTTTAGATTAGATTTTAGGAAAAATTTCTTCAGAGAAAGGGTTGTAAGTATTGAACAGACTGCCCAGGGAAGTGGCAGAGTCACCATCCTTGGAATTGTTCAAAAACATGTGGATGTGGCACTTCAGGACATGGTGATGGTGCTAGGTTAATGGTTGGACTTGATGATCCTAAAGACCTTTTCCAACTTTTATGATTCTAATGGAAGTTAGATGGGAAACTGCTGCTGAAAAGATTATGCTGAGCTTGGGTTTGATAGCTGCAGATTTCTATTACTGTTCAGTGGATTTTGGTCTTTGAAAATTGGAAACTGCTGCTATCTGTTTAGTTATCTGTGCACAGATAAAGAGTGCATCTGGGGAAGGGAATACACAGCTACAGCACTTGTGAAGGGTGCACACAGCTCAATGCCTGGACATGAGAAATACCAAACACACATAACAAGTCAGGCCCCAGCAAACTCATTACTCTTTGCAACTAATTTCAATTAAGTGCCTCTTCAAATCCCAGAGTTTGAACCTAGAGGCCCCCATCAAAGGGCTGTGAAGGCTGGAATGTGAAGGCAGCAGAACACAGCCACAATTACCCATCCCACTGCTGGCCTGAACCTCCTCCAGGGGCAGAGCCCAGCATAAGCTCTCCTGGAGACTGCACCAGGGTAATTACATGCCAAGCACACAATTCACTGCAGCCTTTTCTCCTCCAGCCAGTTTTGCACCTGCAGGAAGATCTCGCTGAGTGAGCCATCAAAAAGCTGGTAACATTTAGCAGCTTGAATAATTAGGAACCTCCCTGCTCCACAGTGATTCCACCGGTGCTTTTTATGCTCCAGTGCTTCTCAACTCCCTCTTTCTTCAAGCAACATTTTAATTTAGGCCTGGGCTCTCCATCCTGGAGAGTTCATATATAATTCAGGGCAGGCTAAAGTGACTGGCCTCTCCATCTCTGTTTAACACCTTCATGTCAGCGAACAACCCTCTCTGTGCTAAATCCTTTCAGAGGCTAATCTGTGCCAGATCAAAGGGGAAGGGCTTTTAAGGCAATCTCCACAGAGCTGAGGTGATTATTAATTCATTGGAAGGTCTCCTCTGAAGTGCCCATTTATTTTTTGTATGCTAATGCATTTAAAGAGGCTGACGGTTTAAACACAGGCCCTAAATCACACAGTGAAATGTTTGCTGAAAGGGCTGATCTTTTATTTACAAAAAAATCCTGATACTCACTTCAGCCTTAGAAATCACTAGTTTGGGATTTATGTGCTGATAAGCTAAAGAGTTCTGAGGAGATCCCTTTAGAAGTGATCAATCACAAGTATTCTCAAAATGTCTCAAAAATAAATAATAATTAAATAATTTTATGTTCTAAGCGTTTTTTAGCTTTACATGCTGGCCCACAGTGAACAATCCCAGCAAGCTGTCTGTCCCACAGCAGGTAATTAAACCACTCCTGCCTGCCCCAAACCAACCTGCTCCACATGCTCAGAAATGTGCTGCAATCCCCTGCACAAGCCCTCCCTGCACAGATCCCTCAGCCAGCCTCAGAGCTGGCCTGAGTCCATGAGCAGTGACAGGCATCACTCAACAGAGGAAATAAAGACATAAACCAAACTCCCTCAGACTTGCACAAGCCCTCAGTGCATCCTTGGCTAACAGCAGCCCAAGCTCCATTTTCTGAAGGTGCTCCTTGTGCTGGGTGATGAACATCACACAGGCCAGGGCATTTCCCAGAGGATAGCCATAGCTGCTGTGCCCAGAGCTGCCAGCACAAAACCCCACAGGCTGTCCTGCTCCCCTCCTTCCTCCTCCTGGCCTCTGCCTGACCCCCACAGCTCATCAGGCCTCACTGCTCCAGCTTTCCAAGGCCATCCTTCTGCTGAGCTCTTTCTTTCCATGCTGTCTCCTTTGGACTTTTCACCACTGTCCTGTTCTCTGCACCCAGCATTTCTAACATATCCTAAACCACTGTTTTTGCTCCCATGCCTGTGGCCCTGTTGGAGGGATGCACCACCAGTACAGCTCTCTCTGCTCCTTTCCTTCTCTCCCTGTCAAAGCAGCACTACAGACTCACAATCCTTACAGCCTGCAAATCCCACTGGACAGAGTCTCTGCTCCCATCACTCTTCCAGCTGCTCACATGCTCTCACTGGTTTCTTCAGACAAACCAAACACTTCAGTCAGGCAGCCAAGAACTCTTCTACCCACCACATCTGCTCCTCTGCCTCTTTTCTGGCAGCCATGGGAAGATTCCCTGACTCTGCATGCACAGCAGTTCTTACTCACTTCTCTCTCACCCCCACACTGCCTCTGCTTCCCTGCCTGGCTCCCCCTGTCCTTAAATCCTCCTCTGCCTTCTGCTCCACTTTCCTTGCAGCTGCAGCTTGGTCCCCTCAGCAGCAATGAAATGCCCTCTCTGTCTGTGATTGCAGATTTGTGCCCTCTGAGCACTGCCTCCCCACAACCCCTGCCTGTCCCTCTGCCCCAGGAGTCTCAGATGAGAGCGTGACAATGTCCCTCCTCCTGCCAGGATTCATTGCAGCCATCTGCTCTGCATCGAGGTGCTTTTACTGCACCTCTGGCTGTGCCATGCCAGCAGCACAGACAGCGGCACAGGGGGGGCACTGGGAACTTCAACAAAGGCAAGAGGTAATGATTAGAGACTCTTGATTTGTCACAAGCCATCAGAGGCTCCTCTGACAGGGCTGATTTATCTCCCCCTGTTTCAAATGGGACAGGGATTGCAGAGAGCAATGTGAAAATCCTGGCCAAGGCCAAGCAAGCCATAAACATTTGCAAGGCGCATGCTTGCCTCGGGAGCCTTTTTATCTCCTCAAGAGCCTGAGCCCCATGGTGCCTTTTATTGTCACTGCACATGGAACTGAGCCCAAAAGATCACTCTCAGAAAGAGTATCCCACAGAAAGGAATCCTGTTTCAACCCTCTGCTGCAGCAGGAAGTGGGGAGATTTTTCTCTTCTGTTTATTGTTATTTGCTGCATCAATCAGTGCCTGGCTGCACACTGCAAGGGGTCGGTTTTGTTGCTTGTTTGCTTTTGGGAGTGAGGAATGGTTGTGCTGAGTTTTATACATGAAAACAGCTTAAATTCCTCCCTGTGTCTGAACTGCAGTATGTGGCACTGTCTGCTCACCATTTAGAAAGGGAATGATTGCCTCATACCTGCTTAAAAACCCACATTTGCACTCTTGCAGTGAGCCTGCAAAACTGCCACAGCTCAGATTTTCTGCTGATTTTTGTCTCATTCCAAGGTGAGGCAGACTGCATAAAAAGGGACAGACCCAACCCCACAGAGGCACACATCAAAACTGGCCTGCAGAACCCAAGCCCAGGGATACTCACAGCTTGCTCAGGTTTTCCAGGCCTGTGAAGGCTCCATTGGTATCTTCTATTGTGCCTGAGATGTCGTTGTGGTCCAGTTCCCTGGGAAGAGCACAAGAGAGAGCTCAGAATCAGCACCTCAGTCCCAATGTCACTGTTACAAACAAGTGGAGGAAGCTATGTTTTAGAAGGCTAATTTATTATTTTATCATCTATATTATATTAAAGAATACTGAGCCACATGAGGGCTTCCCATTTTCTCCTGACAGTTACCAGAAAATGCAGAGTCCTGCAGCAAAGCAGCACCAATCACTTCTCCTGCCCTGGAATGGTGCATTCCAGACAGAGCTTGCTCCTAAAATCCTCTGAGACAGCTACATTTTACCAAGCAGGTTTCTTTGCTAGTTCTGCACATCCAAACAGGAGGAAAATTAAAATAAAGTGCCAAAATTAAACTGAAAGAAACAGCTGTCCTTAAATTCTATACCATGAAATAAGATCACTTTTGGTATTCCAGTGTATGTATTTGTCTATAGCTGAATCTTAGGAAGATTATTTTCTACAAAGCTGCCTTTTTTCTGGCAATGAACTTGAAAACTCAACAAAGGAAAGTGCCAGCATCACTACACCAGCCTAACTCTGTATAAGCATTTGAAAAAAACCCAAGAGAATTCCTTTTTCAGTGTTAGCTTCTTTTGGCTTTCAAATTGACCATCAATTACAAGAGTCAAAGAGATCTGAAGAAAAACAAGCACACAGAACAAACACAGAGATCCACAAAAGCTGTTTGAACAGACTGTTTAGAAATCCTTCCCTCCCAGCTTTTGAATCCAGCTAGCAATGAATACCCAGCAACACAGATAGAAATTCATCATTTCCAATGTTAAGTAAAAAGAAAGAAAATCTAAATAGGCTTTGTTGGTTTTGTTACATCACTCTGATTTAAAACCTGGCAAAACACAGCACCAAAGCAAACTTCACCATCCAGATAACCCCTGAGCCCTCAGGTACTCCTTTGACACCTTTTGAAGATGATTATCAGAACATTTCCAGATAAAAAAATATTAAGACCAAATAAAGAAAAACCAAGTCCCCTTGCATTTTGCAACACTCCAGACACAGGCAGCACAGTGTGGCTTCTGGGCAGCACAAATACACAGTAACTCACAGGAAGGGAAAACAAATTTAAGAGAGAGCCCAGTTTCAATATGGGAATGGTTCCCCTCAGCTGCCTCAGTCTTTGCTCCTTTCTCTGCTTTAGGGTGAACCAAAGATATGAAGGGAGATGGCCAAAAGCCACAATTCCTGTTTCTCAGCTGGCTAAAGCCTGAGACCTGAATCTCACATCCCTGGAGAGCCCTGGCCTCAGCCAGCATCACTGTGGGTGTCAGGGTGATCTGTGGGGTGCTCTGTGCCAAAGGCATGGACAAAATGGGGGCACACAGGATGCTGTGGTGGCCAAAGAGATGGATCCAGGACAATGCTTTGATGTGCTGCCATTTCCAGCACCATCCTAGTGGGACAGGAGCAAATCCATCCTCCTGGAGCTCAGTTTCTACATTTTCCTTAGGCTTGCCAAGCCCATGTCCCTTGTTCTGTTTGTTTTTTTAAGGGAAAATCCCTTCTCAGACATTTCTCCTCTTCAGTTTCACCACGGGCTACTGGTCTTTGGAGCAGCAAAGCCTTTCCCATGGCAGAGGCAGACAAGTGGGAACAGCCTGTAGGAGCCCTGACGCACACTTTTATTAATTGACTGCCACACATTGTGCTTTCTTGAAAAAGGGAAAGAAAATGGTATTGCTTGTTCATCCAGTGGCAACTCAAAGGTTTAGTGTTAGAAAGGAGGAATAAAAAACCTTTTTAACAAATGAGTGAAAATAGAGAGAGGGAGAAAAAAAGAGTGGGGTATTTTGGCCCAGCTCTCTTTGTATCCCAGCCCCTCTCCCAGCCCCTGTTGCCAATTTCCTATTCTTTCTGGCTGGCTGAGCCTGAATGCTCGCAGCCTTGTTAATCATTGTGCTCAGAGGTCTCCGGGCCTGACCTCCATTTGAATAGCTCCACATTTCAGCAGTTTCACACCCACCAAAGGCTCCCCAACAATAGCCCATAATTAAAGCATGCTCAGCTCTTTTTCACCAGGTGCAGGACCCAATGGGCCTTTCTCTTTATTAAATTAGAGCTCGCTCACACACTCCACCTCCCCCCGCTCTGCCCTGGACATAAAAGAGGCTCCACATTCAGTGCAGAGCAAAGAGAAGGAGCAGTTTCCCTTCCCCTCCATTTTTCTTTGGAAACCTTTAGTTCCGGTCCTGACAGCTGCCTCAGAGAGGTCCCTTCTCAATGCCCAGGGCCTGAAAGGCTTTGGCTTAAGTTTAAAAAAAGCAAACAAAACCCAAACTCACTTTCCAGTCACTTCCTTCACTATGAACTTCAATAAAGAAAAGAGTAAGATTCAAAAAAGTACTGTAAAGAGGGGAGATTTTTCTGTTCCCATTTCCTTTTAATGACTCAGGCCACAATGGGCTTCTCAAGAGGAATTAAAGTATCAAAGTGTGGCTTTTTCCTTTGGAAGGAAGAACTAAATCAGTTTGCTGAACCCAAGCAGCCTGGGAAGGTGTCTGGTGCTGTCACAAGGGCTGTGAGAACTCTGTGCTGTGCCAGATGAAGGTGCTGAGCCTGCAGCTCCCAGGGAGAGGAGAGAGCAGCCAGCAGCCCTGCAGGTTCCAGTGCGGAGACAGAACACAGCAATGGAACTGCATCCCCCATCTCCTGATGCTCATAAGACAAGCCCAGATGTATTTCAGTCTCACACAACTCTCACTGTGCAATGCTACAATGCTACAACTGTGTCATCATCACATTTCTGAAAATTCTCCTCCTGGGAAGCTGAGAAGCCTCAGAGAAAGAGGAAAACAATAATTATCTGATTGCTTCTCCTGTGTTTTGCTGCTTTAGAATGTGTTTAGATATTCTTTACCAACAGGTAATTGTTTCATTGGTTTCATGTGAATTGTTTTGACTCAATGGCCAATTATGGCCAAGCTGTGTCGGGACTCTGGAAGGAGTCACAAGTTTTCATTATTATCTTTTTAGCATTCTGTCTGTATCCTTTCTCTATTCTTTAGTACAGTTTAGTACAGTGTTCTTTAATATAATACAGATCATAAAATAATAAATTAGCCTTCTAAGAACATGGAGTCAAATTCATCATTCCTTCCTTCCCTTGTTGGGTGTCACACAAATACAACACAAGTGCACCCCACAAGAGGCCACACTGACTTGTCTCATGGGCTCTACTGCTCCTAAAACCTTACAAGTTGCTATTTGGACTAGGTAAGCTCATTTCCAGTATCACATTTCCAGGTATTTCATTGTGTCAGTGGTTTTAAAATACAAGTCTGTGGTAAATGGCCACAGCCAGCACTGGATGGATAACTTCTGTAATTCAGTATTAGGGCACACGAAACTTTTGCCCTTGCAATTTTTTGGTTTTTCAGTGTTTCCCATGAAAATCAGAGAACAGAATGTTTCATGGGCCAAACTGAATTAAAAACTTCTGTTTACTTGCATGACACCTGCAAAAGCTTCTTATTTCTATGACTGGACTGAAGGCTGGACAAAGCTTCATGCGTTGTTACATTTCTGGTACAGTGAGATGCCAAGCCCAACCTCTACATTTCTTTGTTTTCCAATTGCTTTTTTTCTTAACATCATCTTACAATAATAATAATAATAATAATAATAAATTTATATTTAATCATGATTTTATATTTATTCACAATTTTATATTAATATTCAGTTTTTAAAAAAATAAATAACACAGAAGTGATCAATAGCACATTTAAGAGGATATTCAAATTTCCAGTGTTGTCAGTAGAAGGAATCATTCCCTGCTCCTTCTGAGTGCAGAATGACCCAAAAGAAACCAAGTTTTTCTAAGAATTTCAATTAAAATCAATGTGGCAGCAAGAGAAATACTGCTATTAGCTGCAGGAATGAGACCTCAAGGATTTTTGGTCAGCTGAGGTGGCTTCAGGAACCTGAAACTGCCAGACATGGGCACCCAAAGCATCTTCAAAGCAGAACCATGTGGCAGAACACAAACCGTGGAGGGAAAACATGGGTGTGGTCTGACAAAAGCTGAGAGCAACTTACAGGACACGGAGGTTTTTGAGTCCCCTGAAAGCTCCTTCTGCAATGTGGTTGATGGAATTGTGGCTCAGCCTCAGCACGTGCAGCCCCCCCAGGTCTGCCAGGCTTCCCTCATCCAGCCTGGTCAGGTTGTTGTAGGAGAGAATCCTGAGGGGAAAAAATGCAACAAACAGCTCTTGTCAATACTCTTGTCAATCCATCTGGTATTTTCCAAACTCCTCTGTGCCAAGCAGTGCTTGCCTCCCACAGGCACCTGATGCACTGGGTGAGGAAATAAGATTGAATGCAAGTATTGCCCCAAAACACCCATGGGGGACACCAAGGAGCAGGAGGCACCTGGTACCCAGCTATGGGGCAATTTCTGTGCAGGCTACAGAGAGAGGCCGTCCCAGGAGTGACTGAGAGCAATAACCCAGCACACAGACCCTGTCAGCTGCAGCAGGGAGAGCTCCTCTCTGGTCTGCTCATGGTTTGGGAGCCCTGGCTGTGCTCAATCCCCTCCCTCTGAGGCCCACAGGAGCAGCAGGCCCTGCTGCCCACGCCCTGTGAGGTGCAGAGTGATGTCACACTGATGGATTCTGGAGCTCACACAGCTCTTGGCAGGCTGCTGTGCTCAGGAGGTGCCTTATCATTCTGCACTTGTGCACAGCCAGCCCCAGGCTCTGGGTGTGGGTGCCTGGGCTCCACCCCAGTGCAGAGCCAAAAGCATTTCACCACAAGGCAATTGAATGCTTCCTTTCACCCACAGAAAGGAGGTGTCTGCTGTAAACCAGCCACCTTTCCTTCCTCCCACTCCCCTTTGTAAGGAGCACAGTTTGCCTTAAATCCTCTCCACTTACAAGAGACTATTGGAGGATTGGTTTTTTTCCTAGTTTTCCATCTATCTCCTCCCCTTGCCTGCATTATCTCTGGTCTGGGAGGTTTTTTAAGCACTGCTCCTGTTTGGAAGCTGGCAGGAAAGCAGCAGCTTTGCTCTCCCAGCAAGGTGTGGATGAGGCTTTGGAGATGTGACACTGAGGGCAAGCCTTGGGATCTGTGCAACCACCTTCTATCCAGAATAAAGCTCTGCTTTATTGTGGAAGATCAGCTTGGATTCTCACATGAGAGCAGCAGCAGGCACCAGATTTTCACAACCACCTTCTTGGACACCTGGGAGTGCCACTCACTTCAGAAGATGTGAGGGTTTGGGCTGCTCAGCTTTTGAAAAAGTGAAACAGCTTTGAACAAGCACTGAAATTCTTCACTGTATGGACAAGAAAAAAAAAATCACTGAGTTCCAAACCTCCAAATTCCTCTTCTAGTACTGCCTGTTAATGAGTCTGCTTAAAAATGTGTCTGGGGCTTGCATGAAATTCACTGCTAAGCCAAAACCAAAGTCCAAACAGACACATACTCCAGAGCACTGAGAGTGTCATTTACTTGGCAAAGGGGCTGTCTATCTTTTAGCTGTGTGAGTGGGCAGAGGGCAAGTTCTGGAAAAAATTCAGCAAAGATTAATGAGTTTGAAGGTATGGGACAACATACTTTCATTCCTAAAGAAGCTATAGTGTTAGTTATGAAGAACTGGCATCTGGTCAAAATTATGTCCTCACCTGCTATTAAAGAATTTGGGTTTTAAAAAAAATTGTTTAAAAGTAATCCTAAACCTGGCTGAGAAAATAAATAGTTCCTTTTGACTCCACACATTAGAGTTCCTGCCACAACTGGTGAAGGCGTGTTCCCTCTGTTTGTTTGGATGGACAGACAGCAGCAGGACGTGGTGACTCTCACTGGTGTCACACATGGAAAGTTTCAGGAGCTATTGCACCTGGCAGTGGCTTCTTCAGCATGCCAGGGCTCTGCTTCCTGCCACAGGACAGGGCAATTCGTTGTTACACTGCTGGTACAGTCAGATGCCAAGCCCAACCTCTACCTTTCTTTGTTTTCCAATTGGTTTTTTTTCTTAACATCATCTAATGTTAATCATAATTTTATATTTAATCATAATTTTATATTCAATATTCAGTTAAAAAAAAAGGTAATGACACAGAAGTGTTCAACAGCACATTAAAGAGGATATTAAAAAAAAAAAGTGAGAAATCACTGGCATGACTAAATGGCAATGTTTGTCTACACAGCCCTTCCAGCCTGGCCAGAAGTAGGAGATTTTTGAGCACCACCCAAAATTGCTGCAGGAAGGGGTTAACCAGAGCCCCATTGTGCAACTGGAGCTGCTGCTGCCAGCCTGCTCTGGACCAGGTACATCTCACACACTTCACTCCCTCTGACCAAGCTACAGGTAAAAAAAATGGAAGGAAAGACCCAGCAGCCAAGTCACCATTTACCTCTGATGAAACCCTCTGCTCCCACTGTGGTTTTTTCCATGATGCTGATGCTCCAGCACCTGACTGGTGAATACAATCAGCCCTTTCTCATGCTCAGAACAAGGCAAGAGCTTTCTTTCCTTGTCAGCTCTTACATCAGCCCAGAGCCTTGGGTTCACATTTTGTCCCAGCAACTGAATGAGAGATAACTCCTCCTTCAGATATCAACTCCCTCCTTAGAAGACTCTGAATTTCATTCCCTGTACAGCCACAGTGGTTTCAGGTACCTGGAACCCAGTGGATTTAGCAACAGTGGAGGTGAGCAAGGATCTTTCAATGAGGAATGAAACCACTAACAAAGTGCACGAGTCAGTCTGGATGTACCCATGGCTTCCTTTCCTCACCCTGGCATTTCAGCACAGGCCTCTCCTACAGGAGTTTCACTCTGAGATCTGATGGCTCCCTGCAGCAGCCTTACCCTAAAGGCAGCACCTGAGAGAGCTTGCAGGACTTTGCAGGGCTGTGCTAACACCCACACAATCACCTTTCCCATCTCAGCCACGGCCTCAGACTGCAGCACAATCCTGCCTGTCAGGCCAGGCACACCCCAGGGCCTCACATCACCTCACACCACCAGGCACCTTCCAAATCTACCCCATCCTGCATCCCAGTTTCTGCAATTCCTGCTCCTAAGACAGGACAGCTCACTGCTAGAACTGCTTGCTGGATGAGATCCTAATCCAAACCTGAGAAAAAGGACTCAGCATGACAAGCAACCTCCAATGTAAACCTTGAGGGCTTGCAAGACAGACTCGTGGAGAGAAGACAAGCTCAGCTCTCCCTAAAAGAGTTCTGCCATTAGCCCTGGGAGGTGCAGGTGGGTCTGACCCATCCCATCCAACCCAGACTGAAATAAAGCTCAGCACAGGCACCAGAGATTTGGTTCTGTGCAGTGCAGAGATCTGCATTTGGCTGTTCCAAGGATTCAGCTGTGAGTGCCTTGGCAAGGCAGGTTCCCCTTTTTTGATGCTTCAGATTTTAATAGACCAAAGGCAGAGCACAGTTCCAGTTCTATCTGCTGCCTTGAAGATCTCTCCATTAACACTGCCTTAATCTAGCAAAATATCATGTGAGGATCTGAACTGAGCAAGGCATGGGCAGTTCTGCAGCAATTTGAAAAATTAGGTAATTCAACAATCATGCGTGTATTTAATTAAAACAAAAAATGAAGTACTTCCTTGCACCCCCAAAAAATAACCAACATCTGAACAAATAATTTGGGTTCAACAGAAGACCACAGGACTAGAATGTTAATTCTAAATGTAAAGAAACTACATGTGTCATGTGTATCCATCTTTGAGCCCACAGCCCAAAGGTTTCATACTTCACAGCTGGGTGGGCAGACACCAACCTCCAGTGTGAGAGCAGAGTGAGGCCTCTGGCAGCAGGAATTTGCTCCACCATACTGCTTTTTGGTGCATAGGAGACTCCCTGACAATGTTTAGCAGAATGAATTCCAGCTCCACTGACCACGTGTCAAGTTGACCAAAGTAAAAAGCAAAGCTTTGCACAGAGGGGATGGCAGCACCTTCTGTAAATACTGCAAGCACCCCTGTGTGCCTCTTCAAAAAGGCATTAAGCAGTGCCATAGACCCAAAAGACACCCTTGTGGAGCTGCCCTCAGCAGCAAGGCTTTCCTTCACTTGCCAGGCTGTATCCCCAGCACCTCAGGAGTGCAAAGCCATGTATTTACTGTTCAACAACTGAACCCCTCAGGAAGGATGAAGTGTAAACAGGAGAAACAAGGAGAACTGCCTTGAAAGGGCCAAATCTCTGCTGGTTGAAAGCATGGTTGTTCTTTGTAAACACAGAGGATAAAGCAAAGCTTCCTTCAGGCTGTACAGTTATTATATGGCAAGTTGCAAGTCTTGTAACTCGCTAGCTAAAAACATTGGCAAGCCACAGCTCACAAACTCTCCAGGTCTTTTGGCACTGTGCACTTTTAGTGGGTTCTAGCCTTTGTTTCTGGTACAAATGTGTTTTAACCAGGTGCTCTGGAGGTCATAACATCATAAATAACCAGGGCATCACTTAGGAGCCTGCAGTTCCTGCATTTCTGCAGGTTGATACAGTGGGAGCTGTAAGCCTTGAGAAAATTCCTTACTCCCCTCTCTCCTGCCAGCATTACACAACACCACAGAAAGCAACTCACAGCTCATGCAGCTTCTGGCAGAAGCTCCAGCCATCGGGGTTGATGCGGGATATGGAGTTGTTGCTGAGGTGGAGCTGGTGCAGAGAGGAAAGGCCATAGAGAGAGCCACTGTTCACTTCTGTCAGGCTGTTGTATTCCAGGTGTCTGTGGAGGAAAATCAAAAGGAATTGACAGATAAGCAGCACTGGTCAAATGCTGAATTTCCAAAAAGAAATAGGATTTTAGCCATTCCTACGCACTTTTCTACATACCCACGCGGACACATGCATGTGTGGGCATTTCTTGTCAAACAAAGAGAGAAATTCAAGGACAACACAAAGGAAATGCCCACAAGGAGATGTGACTGCAGAGAGAAGCTCCACTGCAAGTAAACTGGGCTTAAAGCATCCCACTCAAGTTTGTATTTGCAGAGTCTCAGTTGTGTGACAGCAGCACCCAGAAACAGGCTGCCTTCATCACAGGGGACCTCACAAACACACCTGGAAGCCAAGGGTGCTGGAAGCTGCAGGTATCTCTGCAATGACTAATCAATTTATTCTCTGGTATGGAAAGAAAACAGCACCAAGAATGGCCAGCTTGGTTTCTAGGTATCCCATGAGGTGGAATGATACTGTCTGCAACACAGAGTTTCCATCTATCAGCCAAAACAATTTTGCAGAAGCCAGATATTTAAAGACCAATTGAGATAAATGCTGAATGTTCAAACTGTCAAACTTTCAAAGGAATAGTGCTACAGCTTAAAAAAGTTTTTATTGAACACCTGCTGAAGCAGTGAGCTTTTGTAAACTGGGGGTCAGCCAAAGAGAAGCTGCTGTATGGAATTTGTAGGCATCCTGAGGTGGGGAGAGAATGATGTATCTGAGTCTATCTTATCAGAAGGCTAATTAATTACTTTATTACTTTATATTAAACTATTTTACATTACTGCCAAGCAATCAACTCTGCACACAACTACAGGGAATCTCGTGACTGTCAGCTCACAGTCCCAACACACGCTTGTAAACAAAACACCATCACTTCAGATAAACAATCTCCATATTGCACTCTACTTTTACACAAACACAGGCACAGCAAATAAAATAAGAATTGTGTTTTCTTTCTCTGAGGTTCAGAGAATGTGAATCTCAGAAATATTCTTGAGGGAAATTATGCTTTGCTTTTTCTCTGTGAAGAGAAATGTGGCAGCACCGCTGCAGCAGCTCTGGGTGTGCAGGACAAAGAAAGGAGCACACGAAGCAGCACGGGTCACTGCTAAAATACAGAGAAGGATGTGACAGCACCAACTTACAGAACTTGCATTTTGGCCAGGCCCCAGAAAGCCCCATCAGTGAGTTTGCTGATGTTGTTGCGCTGCAGTTTCAGCACTTCCAGGCTGTCCAGCCCCTGGAACGTCAGACCTTCAATCAGGCGGACGCGATTGCGGTTCAGCTCCCTGAAATCACCAAGGCCGTACAAGTTTGTTAAAGCCCAGCCCTTTCCCACCCAGTCATCTGTGCAGCACACAATGGGGACAGCAATGCCACCAGCTCCTGTGTCAGTGGTTCCCAGGATGCAGCAGAACAGCACCGGAACCCTTCCATCCCAGAGCTATCCAGGGGAGGCAGCTGCGTGTGATCTCCTAAACAAACTCACCCTGGGACAGGCTTTCACTACAGACAAATTACACAGGGCAGCAATTCCTCTTCATCCCTCCTCTCTTTTCAACCATTGATCCTTCTCATCAATTCCCACTTTCCATCCTCCTTTAAGCACAGATGCCATTTGAATCAAAACACTGGCGTTATTTCCTTTACAATGCATTGTTTTTATAGGACTTGTAATTGCCCAGTAAAAATGGGCTCTGAAACATGCAGGTGCCCCAAAAGTGTGGGCCCAAGAGGAAACTTTGTGGCCAAGTCTGAAAAGAAAGCCTTTAGTGCCCCTGAAAAAAGTCACTTTTTTTTCTTCCCTACTATCAGAAACTGAAAAAGACTGAAAGTGTTTCCAATAACAATGTAGTCTTAGTATTTGTGTATACAAAGGTTTCCAGCCTGGTCCATTAAATTTCTTTTGAGTTTCTCTGGGTGGGGAAGGACACCTAAATTTTGGCAATATCTTTTTTCTGAATAGCAATATGAACACCATCACAGCACACTCTACCAACATATATCAGGCTTATGGGTTGCTTGACTCAGACATACCAGCTGAAAATCCAGTTCTGTTAAGTCAGTGGAGAACTTCAATGCACAAAAAGCTGAAGGTGAAGTTTTTAAAACTGATACTTTTCCACACATACAGGATCAAGCTGAACATAGTTCCCTATTCAGTGTTTGTGTTGAGGAAAATGGTGGAGGTTACAACAGCCAAACTTGTTTTGGAAAAGATGTAGAAGCCATAGAGACTTTAAGCTTACTTTTCAACTGCCTAAAAAAACAATGTTGAACTTGAGCTCAAGTTGAGAATAATTAAAGTCAAGTAAGCAATAAAGATTTTGCAGGCCTAAAGTCCCTTGTGGTACTGCACTTCCTGGGCTATTAGTGAAACAGGCTTTGCCAGAAAAAGAACTGTACACAAATCCTACAACACACCAATCTGGGTAACTTGCAATTCATTCATGTTTATCTGCAGAGTTAAACATCCAGCTCTGAGGCAGTCATTAAGAGCACCAATTACTCCATCTCTCAGTGCAAACCATGTTCCTAAACAGACTGAGCTGTTTTCATTACAGTTCTGCACATGATGCAGTCAAACACAGTGAATTAGAAGCCCTCACTCAATGGACAGCAACTTCCAGCTGAGAGGCAGCAGACTTTTCCTATTGTGTGCCCCATCCCATCACAAACTGGCTGTAAATCCTGCATGTATGCAGGCACAAATGCACACACACTCCTTGGGCACACCCTGGCTTCAGGATTTCTCTTTCAGTCAGGAGGTTGACACTTAGAGGTGCAAGTTCCAACAGCATTTGTGGACTTCATGTGAACAGAGGTGGACCTTTTGTCTATCAAATTTGATGGAAAGACTGCAAGGAGCCTTAGGCTGGGCCCATTTCTCCAACAGCAGCAGAAGGGAAAAGTGCCGTTAAGTGGCCACTTTTTTACACATAAAGCATGTTTACAGCTGCAGATGTCTGTGTGTTCCCACACAGGCAAAACAACAACCATGTGCGTTAACTCATCTGAGCTGCAATTTTCTCTGCCCAAATATCACCTAACAGTTTAACAATCTTCCCTCATTGCTTTTTTATTGCCAATAAAGATACCTGTGTGGCCTTAAAACATTAACATAGCATCTGAATTCTGTCCCTCTCAATGGAAACATCTCACAAACCTCTCTTGCAGCATAGACACCAGCAGCTTGCAAGGGAATGGATTTATCTCACTTTGTCAAGTGCAAAAGATGCTGATGTCTGCTGCAGCATTCCTCCCTCCCCACCTGATCCAAATAATGACCTGAAAAGCCAAGAGTTGCAAGAGACAAAACCCTCTCCCAGAGTGTCTTCCTAGGAGCTGGCAGAGAACTCCTGCACAGTGAATTCTACATTTCATACACAGCAGGTGAGGATGGGTGACATTTGCTGTGCACAACCCCAGGATCATTTTATCTCCATGAAGTGTGGCAGAGCTTAATTAAAGTGGACATTTGTACTCACAGCTGAATTAGCCTGGGCAGCCTGAAGGCCTTGACAGGAAGCTGGGTGATCCTGTTCTTACTCAGCCTGAGTGTCAGCAGGGTCCGGGACAGGCTATCAAAGGCACCGGGCTCCAGGGTGCTGATTCTGTTGCTCCCCAGGTAGCTGCAATAAATCACAGCACAAAAATGAAAGTTTCTGTCAGAAATTACCTTTTATCAGCATTTAGCTGGTCTCCAGACAAGCTGGTAAAACTACAGAGGTGGCTTCAACCCAGCTGAATTTCTGTCTGCACAAAGGGCCCTTCCCAGAGCCTGTGATGAATGTGGGGAATTGCTGGGCACTTCCAAAGAGCTCCCTGACACCCTCCTCCTTGAACAAGGCAATCAGGAGTGGAAGCCAGAAACTGGAGATTATTCCAGTGCAGGATGATGCTATTCATCCCCATTTTCCCCTCAGTATTTGTCCCTGAGATCTTTTCTATTTGGATGCTAGTCTGAGCCACAGGGGGCTGTTTCTGCAGGACATCAGTCACAACATTGCTCTCTTATACCCTCTTGCATCCAGGAACAAACTTGGGAGTAAACTTTAATGCAGGCAGACTACTTGCCTGCACCTCTTCAAAAGTACCTAAAATACAGATTATTTCATATTTCTCTGAATAGGCAAACATCCTGTGGGAGTGTGTTACTCTGCTTGACCCCACTTTCTTCAGATAATCAGAGACATGTCTGTTCTCAATATTCAGAAAGCCACTTTAATGATTAAATAGTTGTTCTCTCTCCACTCTTCTAGATACACACAGGTTTGCAGTTTAAAGACACCTACACATGAAGGACATAGGATACCTGAAAGACATAGTTTCTCTGCAACGCAATTAATAATAATCTGTATTCTTTATAGATATACCTACACATGAAGGATGTAGGATACCTGAAAGATATATTTTCTCTGCAACACAATTAATAATAATCTGCATTCTTTATGGCTACATCACAAACCAAACACCACTCAAAAAATAACCTGACAACAGTGACAAGGTGCTGCCTTCTAACTCTAACTCTCCCTTGCGCTTAAAATCATGACCAACAATCCCATACTTCTCATGCTCATGGCTTCTTTTTCTGAAGGTTTGAGGCCCTTTTCTGCGCTGTGCTAAGTCCACAAAAGCAGTTCCCAGCCAGCAGCACTCACAGCTCCTTGATGAGCAGTCCCTGTGGGAAGCAGCCGTTTCGGATTTCCGTGATGTCATTGAAGCTCAGGTCCAGCGTTTCCAGGGCAACGTAGGGCTGCAGCTCTCTGCCCTCGATGCTGCGGATCCTGTTGTGATGCCTGCAACAGTCAGGAGCAGAAAAAAGGGACTGTTTAGCTCTCTTAGAAAAACAGAATTAATATCTGAGCCTGCAGCAGGCCCTGGGTTTGTACACTCAGAGTTATGGTGACTTTTTAACAGCTTTAACTTTTTAACCATTGCAGTGAGATTCTCTAATCCCCTCTGGCTACAGCCAGCTCACAGGTATCTGCAGGCTTCCACTTTATTCCTTCTACAGAGCTATTGACTCCACTCATCAGTTTTTCTTCCATTAATCTGGGCTCTCCCACAAGCCTGCACTTCCAAACTGGGTTTGTTACATGCAAGGGCTACAGGGCTGTTTCTAAATCCCAAAGGCAGGAGTGCAGATCAGTGGCTCAACATGCCAAGGCTTTATCCAGAGAATGTGACTTTCAGAGAAGGAAATAAATAAGTGAATACAAACTCAACGAAAGTTACATAACACACTACATTCCTAAAGATTCTTCTGAAAATTCCCCGCTTTGCACTGTGTTACAGTGATTTATAACACAGAAATAAGAAGTCTTGAAAACGTTCTTGCTGGCATTTCCTTATCTTTTGCTACTTTTGTCCTGCTGTAGGATTAGGACACTCTGCAGTGCCCAAGCACCAGCTGCAGGATCAGACCTGCACTGATCCTGTGTTTGCTGCCTGACCAGGACAGCCTGAGGGATTCAATCCAAAGTTTTTCTTTAGAGAAATTCCTACCAACTGCCCTCAGTTTGCTTCCACAGCCACCAAACAGTTAAATACCTTTAGACCTCATCTGTACTCAACAAGGTCTAAGTAAAAATCACCCCCTCTCTGAGTCCTTTCCTCTGACTCCTTTCTGGCCTGAGTCAGTAGAGAACAGTAATCAATTAAAAAAATACATTGTGCATTAGTCACAAGAGGCAGAGCACATGCCTGATGTGAATTTAGAGCAGTCACTGATATTACTGGCAAGGCGGGGAGTGAGGCACTCCAAACAGAGACGCTCACCAGACACTTGGGAACTTGCTGAATAATAAGAGACAGTAAAGAGAGTTCAGACAAGTCCTGTGCCTCAATCCATCCAGACACCCACTGGGTGAGCAGAGGAGGGGAGAGCAGCCAGCGAAAGCACTCCTGAATGCAAGTCCCAGCTCCCCTGACAAGGCATCAGCCCTTTGAAACAAAAACTGAGACAGCTTTTCAGGCACTTCCAGCTGTTCAGGAGCCCATCTTCTCCAGCTTCACCCCCTCTTCAGGCTCTCCCAGGAGTTCAGATGAGCCCCTTTGGAAGAAAAGCTCCTCCCTTTGACAGAAAATGCCAGCAGCGCATGGCAAGGGACCTGCTCCCCACACCGTGATCTGCTCCTTTACCCTCCCTGTTACTGAAACCAGATTGTTTCACCACAACCTTTGCTGGTGTCCACAACAGGAAGAGTGAAAAATCTGCAACCCAGAACAATTTGCTTTTGGGAGACTCACCCTTTAAACAGCCAGCACATGGCCCTTGCTTAACGCTGGGGAAACAGGCACAGAGACACTACTTGGACTGAAGAGTTTAAGTGATAATTAATTCAGTGCAGGCTCAGAAAACACTAAGGACAAATTTTACAGCACTATAGCTGCTAATACAATGCAACAAGGTGTCAAGAAAAATCAAAGGAAAGTCATAATTTATGTCTCCAAACTGGTTATTCCATGGGTTACCTGCACACAGGTCTCCACAATCTCAACTGTTTCAAAGGTAATGACGTGGCTGCTATACAAAAGACCAATATTAATTTACAGCTGGGAATAAAGTCTGGATTTTCACATCCATGCACATAGTAGGACAGTGGTGCACCAAATTTATACCACAGTGACACTAAAATACAGGAAAAATCACTATACTCAGAATTTTGTGACCTCCATTAACTAAAAACATGGGCAAGGGAAATTTCTTTCCCTCTAGGACTATTTTTTTTTTTTTTTTTTTGCAATTAACTTGATTAGTAGAATCACAAGGTTCAGAAATTTTTAATCTTTTTTCCCTCCTCAAAAGAAGAGCGCCCATTAAATGTGCATCCAAGCCTGACTCAGGAAAGCACCTGAACACAGACATAACTGAAAGCAAAGCACGAGCACATTTTCTGGAGCTCTCCTGAAGCAGGGGCTGCGAGTTCAGCTCTGATCTCATCTAAGCTGAGATGGCTGAGATGAATCTGGCTGTAAATTAACAGGAAATGAAGGCTTGTACAAACGAACGTGGAGAATCTATAAATCACCTGACAATCCCTACACAGGGCAGCAAAGTCTGCAAGGGACTGAGAGCACAGAGTGAATTTGGACATGAAATGCTCTTCAGAAGCCAATTTTTTTTGGTTTTGTGTTTTTTTTTTTTTTTTCTTTTGGAGTATTAATATTTTTGTGCTTTGGTTGCTCAACATATATCCACTCTGCCTGCCTGCCAGATCTACCAACCCATCCCAGAAGACAGACTTGAAGAAGGGAAGAAAAGGACAGGAAAGAACTGTTTTGTTTGAGCCGTGTTCGCAGTTTCCAGGTGACTTCTGTCTGTTCGCCTCTCGCTTTTCATGTGCTGCAGCTGGCAGATGAGAGGGATACTTTATTTTACACAGGCACAAAAACTGGCTCCTTTCTCTCCCTCTCCCCCTTCTCCTTCAAACATGGGCTGACTCCAATGTAGCTCTCAGTTCCAAACACCATCCCGGGCCAGTCCCAGCTGGGGAATGTCAGACAGTTCGCTGCAAAGCACTGCACCCTCTCAAAGCACTGCACTTCAAACAAAGCCTGTGACTTTTCCTATACACAGCATGTGATATGAAGGCAAAAGAGCCCAAACCTTTTACTAGCTTGATTACAATTTATTTTTCATTCTTTTGGTAAGGGCCCAAATGTGATTTAACCCTCACTGTTACTACTTGGATCCTTCTCAGCTCTCCTGCCTTTGTTCCCCTGTTCATCCCAAGGGAGTTTTGCAGAAAAAAAACCCCAAAAAACCAGTGATGTTATGAATTTGCCTCTCCTCTTTATCACTGACTGGAAAAGGGCTGGATTTCTCCCAGCCACTTCACACTGGGTTGGCTTCAAATGTGGCAGATCAGATTTTAGAACCAATTGCCGAAACCGGGCGTTAAAGCACAAATAATTGGTGCTTGCACAACCAACACCTCCAGGTATCCTTTCCTCTCCCCACTCCTTGGGTATCACAGCCTGGAAACAGCCTTCCCTGCCTCACTTTACTTCAAGAGTGTACAATGACAGGGCTTCAATGTGAGATTGTGCAATTAGAGCCTGGAGTGGGAGCCAAGTCTCTTGGTTTCTATTCCCAGCTCTGGCACAGACTCATCTGCCTTGGGCAAGTTCCTTAACCCCTCTCTACCTCTGGCTTTCCAAAGTGCATGGAAAAGGACTACCCAGCTAGGATGATGCAGCCTTTGCTGAGGACTAAAAACCTGGAGTGAAAGCAGCTCAAGCGAAAAAGAAATCATAGGAACTGAGGAGCCCATCCAAGTCCATTTGGGTTTGTTTATGAATATGGGAGGATCTGGCTAAAACAACAGAACTTCCAAGTTCATCCCCAACGTCATTCCCAGAGACACCTCATCTGCAGCTAACACAGACCTGGAACACCGCTGTGCCAAGCTAAGGTAACTGGCAGTCAGCAGAGATCCCTTCCACACTCTCTGTGCTCATGGCACTTGTTCAGGAACTTCTTCACCCTGGGGTCAGCACCAGCTCCGGCCGCAGAGGGAGAGGAGAGCTGGGTGGATGCACCCTCCAGCCCCTCAGTTCAACACCCCAGAGTAGCACAGCCCCTCAGCACTTGTATTTTGCACAGACCCCTTGGGTTTACAGGAAATTTGGACCATCCCCAGGCAGCTCCTTGCTGAAGCAAGGCCGTGAGGAAACAAACGCAACGCGCGCTCTCTGCTCCGCCGCGCTGAGAAAAACAAGCAGAACGTTCCAGCACAGCCAAAGCCTGTTTGGGTTTGCTCTGAGCCGGGAGGGAGCTGGAGGGGGTGGCAGGAAAATAACAGGTGGCGCAAAGTCAAAGGCTTGCAGCATTTCCAGGAATCTCAGCTTGTATTTTAGAGGTAAAGTTACACTTTAATCCCGGTGCGTTTCCTCATTCGAGGCGTCTTTGTGAATATTTATTTGATAAACAGGCTGTGAAACATTTTCCACCAGACCTAATAGGGGAAGAATTCACCTTCCTCTTTGCAGCAAGCAAGGAGAATGCCACTCAGTTTAATTTACACCTCACCTTCAAACTCCTCGTGTGAAATGGATGCAAAGAGAAGCACAAAAACGTTCCTTTGTTGTTTGAGCCACATTCACTCTCCCCAGCAGCTGCCCACTCCAAAGCTGACAGCAGAAAATCAAAGCAAGACTCTCAGACAGGAATGCACGAGGGGCTTTGCTTGGGCTGATTTAAATACAATCAGCACAAAACCTCCTGGTTTAGACAAAGCTTGAATTAAGGCTGCTGTGGCTGCAGCGAAAATGTTCAGTGTGAAGCGAGGCTAAAGGCAGGCAGAAGTCACATGCCTGCCCTTCATGTAGTGTCAGCTTACAGATCTGGCCCGGCTCACCAGAGAAAAAGGAAAGCTGTAATACAGCAAACCTATTAAAGCAGCACCTGTTATAGGCATCAAAAATAAAACTGAGCTTCTAAAGAGGGGCTCTGCACCTCGGGCAGGGTTCTATTAATATGCCAGCACATTTTCAAAATTAGCGTACAAGGGAGATCACAGGACTAGAAAGAGAGAGATTTTAAAAAAGTTCAGGGTTTGGTTAGGATTTCCATCCTGACAAAGTATTGAAGAAACAAAATGCTGGAGCCAGAAAGAGTTATGGGGTTTGGTAGTGAAGGACAGGCAAGGTTTGGTGTCACAGACTGGCTGTGCAAAGGGAGGGAGATCAAAGGCAGCGTAACCAGAGATGGATCACACACACTGTGACTAACACATGCCTGCAACTACCTGCCCTCCTCCTCCTGCTCACCTCAGAGATGGAGATCCAGTAC